TGATGCGCGTGGCTTGACACCACGGCGCCAACAATTTACGAGTGCTAATTAAACGATTCATACAAAAGTCCGTGACGCGTGTACATATTGCAGGTCCGGCGCCTCGGCATGGCGGTCACGCCCGCGCGTGTGGCGAATGGAAACAAAGCCGCAACGACACAAGAGAAAAACAATAACAACAGCAAAAAAAGAAAAAAAATAGCAGCGGCGCGCGCACAAAAGGACGAGGCAGCCCCGCGCGTGCGCCACCGCGAGCAGGACACACAAAAATAGTTCGGCAACACGGAGCCATACAACGGTGCGTGAAAGAGTGCGGCATCCCGTCGCTGGAAACGGAAACACGTAGACTCGCTGGCCAGCCTGGCCGCCAAAACACTCGACGCGTTTTGAGCTGCAGAGTCGCCAAATGGGACTCGAAGCGAACGTGTGACCCCACCAATGGATTCCTCCTCGTTCGGAGAGCTTTCCATTGGTGGGGTCACACGTTCGGTTCGAGACCCATTTAGCGACTCTGGAGCTCAAAAACGCGTCTAGAATTTTGTCCGCCTCCACCGGTCTTGTGGCCCACTGTACGCAGGATTGCCAACGTTGCCGACACGCGGCGTCGTGTTCGAACAAGCATCGTCGTGGCGTGGCCGGCGTGGCCTCGCCCTGTCTATTGAGGGCTGTAAACTGTGCCCCGCCCCGCCCCGCCCCGCCCCGCCCCGGCCGTTGCCTGCAGACGGCCAGAAGCCAGCCGCGCCTTGGCCAGGCCTTTGGTCGCCTTGCGGTGCTCAGGACGGGGAGGGCGTGGACCGGCAGGGGCCGGCAGGGGCATCAACAAGAGGCGGTGCCGCCGTGCCGGCGAGGCGTTCGGTTTTTCTGTCCGGCTTGCTGCCGCTGACGTGTGACGTCGCCCTAACCCCGTCGGGCAGCGCCGAGGGCAGCGCCGCCGGGCCGCCGGCAGACCGATTCCGAAGCGCCGTGCCGTCGCGCTGTCTCTGTCACACTGGCGGGGCGTCCCGCAAGGGTGCGAGAGAGACGCAGCGTGGCCGTTCGGAAGGGCCCGACAAGGCCGGGCAGGAGCCTTGAGCCGCACGGCGCGCTCGGCGTTCTGGGCGACTGCACCGTGTCCCCTCTTTCTTTTGCTCCCTCCGCTCCCGTTTCCCTCTCATCACATCGCGCGGCCTACGACGCCGCCGCCCTCCGCACTCCTGCTCTCGTTTCGCAGCAAGAAGGGGGAGAAAAAGGGGAAAAAAAGAGAAGGCGCACACAGTTTATCCGTAATTTTCCCGCTCCTTAGCGCTAAGATTTACGGTCGACTTTTCACTCTCTCGCCGGAATCTCGTCTGCGGGGTGCGGCGGGGCGGGGCGGGGGCGCGTCTAGGTTACGATATGAAGGAGGCGGTGAAGGAGCCCGACAAGTGGCAGCCCCAACAGCAGCGGCGCCGAACCGCGCCAAAGGCAGCAGCCAGGGGCACAACAGGAGGGTGCGGCACAGCCTTGGGTACAGCGGGGCACAGCGGGGCGACGACGGAGTGCACGGAGCGTGCGAACGAGATCACTCGCGCGCAACTCGCGGTCCGCGGTCACCGGTCGGGGAACCGCACGCGCCGTCCGCGCCGCCGCCTCCTCCGAGCGGCCCCCTGCGCAGCACATTATCTCCCTGTTAATAGACACCCTTTTCCTTTTCTTCGATTTTCCGTTTTCATTTTGTCTGGCGGGGTGAGAGAGGATAACTGCGCTGTCATTTCAAGTCGGCCGTCATTTCCCACCAAGCCGCGAAAACGCGAAAACGCACGCCAATCCGACGGGGCCTGCTGTTTTATTCGAGGCGGGGCGGGGCGGGGATCCGAAAGTGATGACGGCTCGTATCGGAGTGCGGGGCTGGCGGGGCTGGCGGGGCTGGCGGGGCTGGCGGCCCAGTCCCAGCTGATCGCAGTGCAGCTCGGTGCCCGAGTAGATCTCCGCCTTGTCTCGTATGAAATGAACCCAGCCCCGGCCCGGCTGCTTGCCGCCCTCATCTCGTATTTTGTTTTGTGGTTATTGGAAAGGCGCGTTGCAGACGCGTGGGCGTCTCGCCGGCGTGCCGATGGCAACAAGGCTTCGCCCCGCCCCGCCCCGCCCCCCGCCCCCCGCCCCGCCGCCTGCGCCCGTCGCATGCGACGCCAGATGCTTTGCTCTCCGGAAATTGTGCCTCCACCGTCTGGAAGGCTGGAAGGGTGGAGCAGGCTGGGGCGCTCCCAGTGTGCAGGGGATGCTTAAGGAGGTGGGGAAGGGAATGCGCCTCGATTCACCTGAGCGGCCAGGACCCCGACCCCTTCCCGACCCATCTCCCAAACGTCCTCCCGACCCCGCCGACCCGGACCGCCCGACCCATTCTGCCTCGGCGTGACTACGGAGTGCCTATGGCGAACCCTGGCGCATTCCATGCCTGGCACCAAGCAGCCGTTGTGTGTGTGTGTGTGTGTGTGTGTGTGTGTGTGTGTGTGTGTGTGTGTGTGTGTGAGAAGGGCTGCTGTGCCAGGGGGCTTTGAATTGGCACCGAGAACGGCAAGATTGAGTTCGGCTTCATGGACGGTCGGGGCACCCACAGCATCAGGAAAATACACATTTACCCACACGCCTTCCTCCGCCACCACGCGCTCGCACTCTGGCCAAAAAAAGAAATAAAATTGAATGTGCGAAATTTACCGCTGACAGAGAAGGAAACTAATGGAGCCCCGTGCGGCCCCGTGCGACAGACGCGCCTCGGTATTTGAACCTTGTCACGCCGAGCGCGCCGAGCTAACAAGGAAACAAGGGGCGGATAATTTGGTGGGCCAACAATGGATGGGCGCTGCCTCTGCCTCCTCGCCCCGCCTCGCCCCCCCTCGCTAATGCACAGTGTGGGCGACTAAGGCGCTGCAGTCATTACCGCCGCAAACACATTTTTCCCCGAGTCTCATTTCGGGCGGCCGTCTACCAGACACCCCGGCTACTCCTTCAAGGCAGCGGCACGGCGCGCAGTGGACCAGAAGACAGGTGGGTGCGGCCGAAATTCCAGACGCGTTTCGAGCTCCAGAGTCGTTAAATGGGACTTCGAACCGAAAGTGTGACTCCACCAATGGACTCCTCGTTCGGAGAGCAATCCATTGGCGGGGTCACACGTTCGGTTCGAGTCCTGTTTCGCGACTCTGGCGCTCAAAACGCGTCTAGAGTCGCTGGTCTTCCGGCCCACCGTGCGGCAGGGCGGCACGGCGGCGTCCAGGAGGACGAGTCACATAAATTTCCGGGGCGAGCGCCAACCCGGGTACATCCCCCAAGAACAGCCGCCGACGGGCCGCCCCGCGCGGGGGCGGGCAGGGGGCAGAGCCAGGGGGCCCCACACCCCGTGGGGCGGCGTTTGGCGCGCCGGGCCGGGCCGGGCGGGGCTCAAGGTAAACACGATAGCAATTGCTGCTCAGCCCGTGTAAACTAACAACATAATAAAACAGCAGAGGAAAGCGCCACCAAGTCGCCGGGCAGGTAGCAACTCCCCCAGCCCGGCACAGGTGCTGCAACGGAGTGCGCAAGGAGGCGCGGCGCACCACGGCGCTGCTGCACCAGATACAGTGTACTCGGCCGGCAAAGTTTGCCGCTGGCCTTGCACGGTGTAGCGGCAGCACGCGGCAGCATGGCTCTGTTGAACTAGCACAAGTAATGAAACCCGTCGCGGACTTGCAATATGGGACGCCTCGGCCGGCTGGCCCGGCAACGGAGGGGAAAAAGACCGGTGGAGGCGGTCAAAAATCCCGGGTGCGTTTTGAGCTTTAGAGTCGCTAAATGGGACTCGAACCGAGCGTATGACCCCACCAACGGATTGCTCTCTGAACGACGAATCCATTGGTGGGGTCACACGTTCGGTTCGAGTCCCATTTAGCGAGCCCAAAACGCGTCGAGAGCTCGGTCGAGAGGCTTGGCCGCCTCCACCGGTCTACCACCCGCGGTCCGGTGGTGAATTAACCGGACGCAAAAAAGCGCGCCGACAACAAGGAAAAGAGCGACGCGTCATGTAATGAAGGTTGTCGCGAGTGACGCCAAAGTGACACCGAGTGAGGCGCAATATCCGCGCGTGAGTGACGACAGTGACGGCGCCGCGCGTGTCCGCCGCGTGTCCGCCGCGTGTCCGCCGCGTGTCCGCCGCGTGTCCGCCGCGTGTCCGCCGCGTGTCCGCCGCGTGTCCGCCGCGTGTCCGCGCGTGTCCCCCGGTGTCCGCGCGTGTCGCCCGTGTCCGCCGCGTTGTCCCGCGTGTCCGCCGCGTGTCCGCCGGTGTCGGCTGTCGCGGTGTCCGCGCGGTGGGCCGCCGCGGTCCGCCGCGTCGCCGGCCCGCGCGACTAAGTTGGCGTGCCGACGCGTGGGCACGCGGTCCGCGCTGCGCACGGGGAGGTGGCGCGTCGGCGTTATGCGCGGCGCCGCGCTAATCGAAAAGCGATGCCACTTGGATGCAAATCGTGACAGAACAAAGGTCTGCGCAGGCAAGGGAGGGATCGCTAATGGCGGCCGCCACGCGCACTAATTGCTGCCGACGCGGGGCACGCGGCACGCTGCGGCACGGAGTGGCGACGAGGTCGATTATCGAGGGCCGCGCAACAAAGAGTTTCTTCGCGACACTGCTCGAAAAAAAGAGAGTAAAAAGTTACAAAAAATGGAACAGTAATACACGATGTGGGGAGGGTGAGGAGCTGGGTCTCCCAACTTTAATATGCGGCTGCAATCGGTGTAGCGATCCCTCCCGCAAACAGACTCTTGCCCGCGCGGCGCGGCCTCCACCTCCTGCCTGCCGCGCCCGCTGCTTCGACTTTTCAATACGTGTCGGTGATTCTACGTTTATTATTTTTTCGCGAAAGTCGAGAGCTTTAGGTGTTTATGAGTTTTGGGATTTTGCCAGAGTACACAAGTACACACCGAGTGCCAACAAGCGGAAGGCACGATAATGAAAAACGTTGTTTCACCTTTGAAATTGAAAAACGAACAAGAAAAAAGAACAGTGTGGGACTCACCTTGCACCGCGTCCCCGCCGTGAAGCTTGGCACCGCATGGTCGAGGCGTCGCAGCAGTGAAGCCACGACGTCAGTGATGCGGTGGCCCGATTTCACAAATTGAAAAAAAAAAGACAATCGAAAAGTTGGGCGACAGAAAAACAAAAAGACAGTCCACTGTTTCGCGTAGCACACGCACGCACTGTCAGAGAAAGCCAATCAATGGCCAACGAATCCGCTATGACACACACTCACACTCACGCACAAACACACACGCAGTCAAGTTCGTTCCGCCGGTGCCACTACCGCCGAGGCCGTGGGGCCGCGTCAGGTGCGGGGGCGGCGCGGTGCCGCGGTGTCCTCGGGCGGGCGGCCCTGCCACGCCGAGGCCGCCGCCTGCCCCCGCCCCCGCGGGCCGCCACCGCGACGCCGGCGTCGACGGCCTCACACCTGGTCCACGGGGGACTTGGCCGCGTGCCGCGCGTTGGGGTCCGTGACGTAGTGCCGCGGCGACGGCGGCGGCTCCGGGTCGGCGAAGCGGGGCGTGGAGCGGCGCGTGGTGGCGGGCAGGTAGTAGGCGAGGCAGGACACGCCCACCAGGAACAGGAAGAAGACGAAGACGACGTCGAACATGAGCAGGGCATTGAGGGCCAGCAGCTGCATAGCGCAACATAGGGATGGTCCGCGCCGCGCCTCCAAGGCGGCCTGCGAGGCCTGCAGCAGCGAGGCAAGTCCGCTACCGGCGCTGGCGGCGTGCGCGGCGCGCGGGGGCCGAGGGGCCCAGGGCAGGGCGCACCAAGCCCATGCCTGCCCCAGCACGCCCACGCCCTGCAACGCCACCTGCAACAGAAAGCACGCCGTGTTACACTCCGGAAGTGTCTTAAGCGTGTGTAATCCTGTCTCGCGCATGGGAGCGACAGAGACAGTGACAGCTGGCAGCTGCAGATAAGGTCAGGGCGTGTGCCCGGGGCGTGCTGATGAGGCGTACTCCTCCCGGGCGTCTGTTGACGGACGTGACTGATGAGCGACAAGGAGGCCGCGGTGCGCGGCAAGGCCGAGGCGAGGCCCAGCGAGGCCCTGCAGGCTGGGGCATCAAGATCCCGGCCAGGATCCCGACGGACGCCAACGGACGCCGCCTTCGCTCTTCGCTTCCGCCTGTCTGTCCGGGACGAGGCCCCGGACGAGGCCCGGGACGTGTGCCGCCGCCGAGAGGGACAACATCCGATCCAGCGTCTTGTAGGGGTGGGCCGGGCCGGGCTTTGGCCCGCGAGTCGGCGGCGCGCGTAATTGGGCCCGCCCTTTGACTGATGGCCGGCTGGACTAGGCTGGACCGCGCTAGCGCCCCATACGGGCGCCGCTCTCTCTCGCACCCACGGGGCGTGTCGTGCCGGCGCGAGAGAGACAGAGACACAGCGAAGGAGCACTGTTAGGAATCAGCCTGCAGCTACGGGCGCAGGCCGGCCGGCCGGGTCAGTAGACTCATTCCGAGAGTCGTTTCGCTCTGTCTCTCTCTCACCGCACGGGACGCCCCTCGAGAGCGAGAGAGACGGAGCGACGGAAACGACTCTCGGAATGAGGCTGCAGGTGGTGCGGGCGCCTCGGCCTGCTGCTCTAGTAGGTGAGGTCGTACGGCTTCGCGCCAGGCATGCACCGCCCGGGTCGCCCACCCTAGCCCACGCCCAGTAGACTGATTCCGAGGGTCGCTCTGTCTCTCTCGCACCCCTACGGAAAGCGCCTTTAGTGCGAGCGAGACAGAGCGATGAAAATGACACTCGGAGTCGGTCTGCTGGCCGCTGAGCCCACACGCTGAGCCCAGGGCGGCAAACAAATAAAGGGCAAAACGGCGTGATTGCGGACAACCCATTTCACTCGACCGCCACGGCGCGCCGCCCCCGGGGGGTCGCCCTCCCCTCCCCTCCCCTCCTACCTGCCCCCCCCCCTACCCTACGGCGACGCAGCGCGCGCGATAACGCCGCGTTATCTAGTGGCGTGGCAGCGTCCGAAATGGCGGTCCCCGTCGCCCCGTGCCGCCAGCAGACTGATTCCGAGAGTCGTTTTCGTCGCTCTGTCTCTCTCGTACTCATGGGGTGACCCGTATAGGTGCGAGAGAGACAGAGCGACGAAAACGACTCTCGGAATTGGTCTGCGGTGCCACCCCGCCGGGGAGGTCGGGGAGCCTCTTTGCTCATCCCCGACTCAATAAAGGCAACAGCAGCCAGCACTCTAAAAAAAATGTTTTCGCTGCGTGCGCGCGTGAGTGTGCGGGTATGTGTTTGTTTGCGCGGAAAAAAGGGGGAGGGGCACCCGGTTTAGTCGGCACTGCACATCGGGGCGGGGCGGGGCGGCGGGGCGGGGCGCGGTGGCGCAGACAGCAGCGCCGAATGAATGGTAATCCAGTCCTCTCTCAGCATTCACTTGACGTCACGCGGTACGCGGCGCTGCTGCCAGTTTGCCTCCGTGTCCGTTTGTTTATGGGTTTGTTTTGTTTGCCGCTGGCGTGATCAGAGTGGTGACGGGGAGGAAGGTGAGAATTAAGTGGCGACTGGGACGAGGACTGCACTGCAAATCCCAGTGTGGATCCTGCCAACGGTTCAAGACATGAACCAGATTGTTCCTTGCTTTGCAGCGTAGACCACATTTTGGATCAACGTTTGAGCGCATAGAGCTACATCCACAATATCACCAGGGCAAGCTAAATCAGACCAAATAATGGACACGTAACTTGGTCAACTTATTAAGTATTAAAATATTGTTCAGTTTGTTTAAATAACCAACACATACCTGACAAATACTTGCTGATGATTTTGAGTAGTCTGTATCCAACCAAGGATGGGCACAGCTGATCACAACACGCATGGCCAAACGGAATGTTTTTACCAACAAATAGCAGCCATCATTTTATTTTGTTCGGAAACTTATAACTGTCCACAAATTCAACAAACACTGAGGTGACAAAATAAATTTGGTCTTGAAGGAAAGAAGCACCAATAGGAGTCTCTTCCCTTATCTTGAAGAGTGGGAAGATTCCAAGAGCCAGTCGGAACTGAGTCAGACCTGGCCATAAGGTGAGGTTGGACTGCCCAACGCGATGGACACGTTTTCAGAGTTTTGAGTCGTGTTGACGCACGTCACGCACTCTCACTATCCTTTGCTCAGTTTGTTTCACAATTTAGCTGTCTCGAAGCACTCGAATTCGTGTGCAAAAGTCCGAAATCGGTATAAATAGGCCGGGAACACGCACGAAATCACAAAACTACATGCTAAACAAACGACGCAATAAACAAAACAAAATTGAAACAGACGATGCTGCCAACGTAAGAAAATAAGAATAAATGTAACCTTTTGAGTTTACGACCAAAATCTTGCACATGATCCTGCGCCTTTTTCTCATGACCCGAAATTGTACCAGGGTTAAGATTCAAAATCAGGCATTTTAGTTCAGACTTTTTTTTTTTTAATTTGTAATGTTGGCAGCATCAACAACGGTTTTTGTTTGTTGCGTCTCGTTTGTTTTACGTGCAGTTTCGCGTGTGCTGGTTTATTACGGGTTTGATCTGTTGCACTCAAACTTGACAGCTGAGAAAGTGAAATCATGAAAGAAATTGAAAAAAGAAAAGTGAGTTTGGGTGACTTATGTATGTTGACACGCGTCAAAACTCTGAAAATATGGCCATCTCGTGGGCCGCCCAACCTCACCTCATGGCCAGGCACGACTGGACCCTGGAATCTGCACCGTCTTCAAGATTAAGAAAGGGACTCCTTTTAGTGCTTCCAAATTTTCCAAATTTTCATTGCACCTCAGTGTTTTTTTGAATTGTGATCAATGGTAATTTTTTGGACAAAATTAAGTGATGACTTCTCTTTGTTGACAAGAACATTCCGTTTCACTATGCTCATTGAGATCAGCCGTCCTCATCCTTGGTTGGATATTGACCACTCAAGATTATCGTCTAATATTTGACAGGTATGTGCTGCTTATTTAAACTAGTTGGAAAATATTTTGATACTTTTCAAGCTGGCCAACTTTCGTATCCATTATTGGGTGGGTTAGGCTCGCTCTGATAATATCGTGGAACAAATACGTAGTTCTATGCTAGCAAGCTTCACACTTTGATTAGCAGTGTACCTCCGTCGGTGCGTTTTAATTTTTACAGTGGGCGAGCTTGATCAATGGGCGGAGAGGCTGGCAGGAGAGGCGCCCAGGCGGGACGAAGGGGTCTTGGCCACAACAGGGCGGGGCGGGGCGGGGCGGGGCGGGGCGTTCGGTCCGGCGGGCCTTTGAATGGCGGCACGGAGGCGAGGCGAGGCGGGAAGAGGCGCTGGCCGCTGGTTTTAATCCCAGCGCCAAGTCGCGCCAATGACTGGCCCGCCGCCATTCACGGCCGGAGCATCAAAATCAAAGTCGCGCCGTCTCTCTCGCACTTAGAGGGCGTCCCGCGAGGGTGCGAGAGAGGCAGCGGAAGGTGCGTGCAGCGGAGAGGCGGGGCAATGAGCGCCCTGCGCACGACTGGCTCAGCGCTCCGTCTCTGTCGCTCCCCTCCGGAGCGGCCCTTGAGTGCGAGAGAGACAGAGCGACGAGAGCCCTGTTCGGAATGATGTGCCGGGCAGTAGCCGGGCAGTGTGCCGGGCAGTGTGCCGCCAGAGCCTCGATGAGGCGAACAAAAGCGTCTTTCAGGGACTCTTCTCATCACGACATGTCTCTCTCTCTCTCTCTCTCTCTCTCTCTCTCTCTCTCTCTCTCTCTCTCTCTCTCTCTCTCTCTCTCTCTCTCTCTCTCTCTCTCTCTCTCTCTCCGCGCCGCGTCGCCAAGACCCAAAAAAAGCAAGGAAATGCGGAGTATAACGGGAAAGGAGAGACGAATAATGAAGGCGGAGAAAAGCAAAATAATGGCTGTCCTGTGTATTACAAATAACTTGAAATGGGATCGAACCGAGGGGTGAATCACTCAGCTTTCTGGTGTACACATATGAGTACATGAGTACGGGTGAGAACACCTGCTTCTAATACACTTAAATTCCACATTTTTAATGGTTTTTTGGCTTTATTTAGCGGTTTAGACAACACGCAACGCCAAATCGCGAAAGAAATGAGCGAATGTTGCTCTTTCCAAACTTGTGAGTATACTGAGTACGGGTTAATGTGTACACATAAGTACACTAGTGATTCACCCCTCGGATCGAACGCGGAGAGGCACGTCCACCGGTGTAAAATTCATCAGGATTTCAATCAGGAAATTCCTGATTGGTCAATCAGGATATTTTCTGATTGGAAAATCCTGATGTTTTTTCGCGCACCTCTGATTGATGATTTCTGATTGGTACCAGTTCTGAT